CACCCCAGCTGCAACCCAGGGAAACTCGTACCCTGCCCAGGAATAGGGTACTCCCTCGCACTCAAGCGAAGAGCAGGGGTGGGGAGAAGACAAGCAGCAGAAACAGCAACCAAGAACTCCCCTTATTCTGAACAGCAGAAAGCAGCTGAGCTCAGCGGGCATCAGATAAAAAGATGGTGAGGACGATTACGCACGCCGCTCCACGCAATGAAATCTGAATTGGCTCGCACTTCAGAGATACTAACACACACGCGCGACCGCTCGAGGCGGAAGCAGTCAGGTGACTCGAGTCATGCGATCGGTGGGCCGGCGGCTTCCTTTCTTCTATTTCCTCGCTTTGCTGCTTTGCCATGCTTGCTCTGACTTTGTTTCACCTCCTGGCAGCAGGATTTGGATCCCCGGTAAGCATACTCCTTCCTCGTAATCTCTCCCTGAAGGGTTGGCTTGCTCTGCCTTCGATTATTCCGTGCATCAGGGGAAGGCTGTGGCTGGGCGCTTGTGCGGAAAGGAGCTTCCCTCTGGAGCGGAAGAGGATGCTGCGTGAATGGAACTCAGTGTTTTTCAAACTTAGCAACTTTAAGATGTGTGGACTTCAACTCCCAGAATTCCCCAGTCACCCAAGTTTGAGAAACGCTGACTTAAACGACCACTGACTGCTTGCACTCTGTGAAGTTCGCTCTGATCCCCAGATTTTATGATAGCTTCCTTCCCGGGTGCTCACCAGATCTGTTGGACTATGGTAGTGCTCAGATATTCAGATATGCTCAGGAAGGAAACTGAGCTCCTCACCATCAATCTATGGCAGTGATTCTCAACCTTGACCACTTTAAGATGTGTGGACTTCAACTCCCGGAATTCTGGCTGGGGAATTCTGGGAGTTGAAGTCCACACATCTTAAAGTTATCAAGTTTGAAAGCCACTGATGGTATTGCATGTAATGCCCAGCCTTTGCAAAGAAGCCCAGCACTCAGCGAATGGGGGAAACCGGGGTTACTCAACAGACCTGTTGCTGTGCCCAAGGAGAACTAGCATGTAGCTGAACTTGGTTAATGTTGGACCTGATTGATAGGAGGCTACCAGGAAATCCAAAGACTTTAGTCTAGATGAGGAAGTGAAAAAATTTTTCAGAAGAGGCAACTTTCCTATTATTGCCTATTGCTGTGACCCTGTACTCACCAGCAGTCGAGCTCATTTCGAGGGAATATTTACTTTCTAGAAAAGCACCGAAGCTGCAGAAACAGATTCTTTTGTGTGTGTTTTGAAAACGTCTACTCTTCCTTTGGTTAACTGAGGTTGAAAACGCATGGGACAAAGTCACGTGAGGTTAAACAGAATGAGAGCACTAAATTAATGACTTTTTTGGCCCTTTGTTCTACTGTAATAAACATGATTTATTGCCCTTCTCAAGCTGCAGAAAGAGGTGACTCTCTAAAGAACCTACTGGGTAGTGAAAAGTCCTCCTTTTTTTGAGTCTAGTGAGATAAATTGATGTAAGTATAATTTGGAATACAAATCTTGGGAGTCTTAAAAGGAAGCCTTTCGATAGGACGGCTGCATCAGAACATCATACTGTATCGCAGTCTGGCAGTCAAGTCACCAGTAACCTATTGTGTAATTAGATTTTCTTAGACGTTAATAGCTGCTACATTCAGTGGTTAGCACAGTGATAATGATAACATAGCATAGATAGCACAGTGGCCAATAGTGTAGTTATTTTCCTGTTTTTAAATAATTGGAAATATTTTGTTAAAAATTCAGCTTTTACTCTCTAGTTAGCACTACTTGGTAGAGCAAATGCAATTATTTCCAGCAGCTCCATCTGTTGTTCTAGTGGAAGAGTAATGACAAAGCTTTAATAACAACTGGAAAAATAAAAGGCTGTAGGAGTAAATAGTCCTCTGACATTGGTTTCATGAGCTCTGCTAATGTGAAAAGAGACTTTGCAATACGAGATTACAGTAATTGGATTACTAAGTAGTTTGCTCAATCTAAAACATAACCTGCCAGAAATAATAATTAAAAACCGCCTTTTTGGAAGAAAACATATTACAGTGAATTCAAGTTTGCAGAGATCTAAAGTCCTGAATCAGATATATTGTTTGGTTTAGAGAGATTTTTTTTTTAATTTAATGTGTACACTATGGCTTGAGAGAGCAAAATAAAATCCTAATACAGATCTTAATAACATTATAAATCTGAGGATGATTTCCAAAGCTTCCCTGATGGAGTAGTCAGTGCAGGGTTCCTCAACCTTGGCAACTTTAAGACGGGCGGACTTCAACTTCCAGAAACCCCCAGCCAGCCTTGCTGGCTGAGGAATTCTGGGAGTTG